GTCGTGGAGCCTTGTACCTCGTCCGGCCAGAGGGTTAACCCCAAGTAGTCGTCTCATAGCCTCAGAAGAACAAATGTAGCAAGCAAGGGAAGGAAAAGAGATGCTACAGTGCGCTATCTCGAGTGTGTCTGAAAGGTGGCCATGAGGTTTCTCCAAGGTACAATCGAACGGCTGAAAGATGAGGGAATAAACAAAAAAACTGTAGTCGGCCGCACAAGTAAAGGAACGGAGGGGTGGCTGAGAACTGAACTGGTCCACGGAATGCACACTAATGGCCCTCTGTGACAAAAAGACACTCACGACTGCCATGGAAGCAAAGCTGGCCAGCAACAAGAGGAACACAGAAATGAATAGCTAATATGGAAAAAAATCGCTCACGCTCATGCTGTTGGATAAGCAGAAAAGTGGACTCTCGCTGAGTTTGTCCCTAGCCACAACTCTGGCCCTCAGTCGTGGCAGGGACATGTCCTCCGAGATTACAGTAAGCCAACAATTCGACCTCCTACAAACGAGTGTGACTCCCCTCCGCCCCGCTGCTACCAGTAAATACAGGTGAAAAATAACAATTCATTAGTATCTGAATAACAGGATATAATACGGACGAGGAGCTTGGCGACAGGGAGTACGCTAGGCCCGAGGTTGGCAGAGGCGAGTGTGTCCAGAAGGAGCGGTCGTTGAGTCACTCCGGCTCTCTCCCGCATCGTACGTCTCCTGACCTTTCGTATTGCCCCGCCCCCTGTAATCAACAAGCGTCATCAATGAGGCTGAGCTCGACATCGATTCTTCCACGTTTTTAACTCAATGAAGTTAAGACTGAGTATCACTACTCCCCAGGACTGCGATTCCTCTCACCTCGGACATGGCATTTACCGTTTTCAAAGGTACGGTTTATGTCACCGCAATCAGTCGAAGGCAATCAGCGGTTCCCATTTGCTGTCTTTCGACTTTGGTTGTTTTCTTCCCAAATCGGTCTCTACCCGACCACCATTTTTAGGCAAACCAGCAGGAGGCAATGTCACCCCACCCTGCTAATGCCGTCCCAGATTGATATCAGTATTACAAATCTATGTGTACGGTTTGAGTTCTACTCAGAGAAACAATTTTAGATTGACGGAAAGCGAGTAATGGCTCAAATATGGGACACAGCTGGTCAAGAGCGATTCAAAACTGTCACCACAGCTTACTACAGGGGAGCGCATGGAGCTCTTGTCGTTTATGATATCAGTAAGTTATCCATGATTGTAATAGGTTAGAAGGAAAGTCTTGTCACTGTTGTGACTTTTTTCTTTTTTATTTTCTAACTCAACATACAGTGGGAATTAGTCAACAATATACTCGTCATAGTTAGCCACTACAGTGCTCCACCTAATGGGCCGGTAAGCATTCGCTTTCCCCCAGAGCTGGGGAGGCTGCGAGTCGAGTAATTCGGCGGCCTCTCGACTGATGTCATCAAAGTTGCTGAAGTTTTCTTAGCTAAGAAAGCCTTGAGGAGGCGGAGCAGGTAGCAGTCGTAGGGGACTACGTCAGGAGAATATGATGAGCGGGGACTGGTCTCCCAGCCTTGCTCCATTATTTGGTAGGTCTCCATAGCAGGTATGGGGTCTCGCGTACTATGAACGAGGTGCTCCGAAGCTAGTTTCGGTCATTTTTCTCCAACAACTTCCACCGGTTTCAGGAGCTGAGCGACACAAATGGTAGCGGTGATCGTGTGTTCTTACAGGACAGCTCGTTCTGCAGCATCCCCCTCGCGTCCCAGGAGCAGCACAGGAGAACCTTCTCGGAATACATGCCCGGTTTGGACTGCTAGAATGGATCTTCTCCTTGAGAGAGACACGGTACTGTGTGGGTTGAAATCACAGAGGACCCATCTGTCATCTCCACTAAGCAGTCTCCCAGAAACACCTTTTGACGAGGGCGGAGAAGGGGAGACTGACCAAGGGGTACCCGGGTGCGCAGCGTGCCATCGGTCAAGGTATGAGTGATCCATCGAGCCAGTACTTTTCGGTAGTCAGCTTACAGGCGGTTGACGACTGTCAGTTAGGTACATCCGAGTCTTGTCGCAAGACTGCGGGTGGTAACCTCCGGATCCTCCTTGACAGCTTCGAGAAAGGTGGAGTCTTCCATCTTAGGGTCCGGAGGTGGTGTAGTAACAAGTGGCGCGCTTACCACTCGCGCGGTCCTGGGTTCAAATCGCGGATCGGCTCCCGTCCAGGTAAGCCTTCTGCTCTCCAGGGGATGGTAAATTGGTACCAGATTCGTATGAGAGGTTGAGAGCACTAACTTATGCATCAGCCCTCCCCAGCAAGTCATAATATATTTCACATCGAATTCCATAAGCCCTAGCGATTCTGAATGAGACTAGAGTGCGTGCCGCATTTCGCAGAAGCATTGATCGACGAGGAAGAATTTATCCTTTACTTTCGTTTTTGCCTGATTGTGAAGTTGTGCTGAGTAATAAAGCAACTGAAGCAGATTGTAATTTTCAGCGAAATCGAGTACATTCGATTCATGTCAACGGTGGCTCAGCGATCTACGAGAGCAGTCAGAACGAGTGTCGGTGGTACTGGTCGGGAACAAGACGGATTTGAGAGATGCGCGAAAAGTCCCTCAGGAAGTGGCTAGAACGTTCGCTGAACAGAATGGACTTTCTTTCATCGGTAAGTGAAAGTGGTGTAGATTCAAGGGAAAAAATCACGTTCAAAAGAAATAAAATACGCCAAATTCGGGTATTCTGATGTAATTCAAAAGGTACAAATTACATATATAGGAAGCATACAGCGGAAACTTTTAACACTTTTCGCTGGTCTAACCATTAGTCTGCAGAGATATTTGGGACGCATTCTTGCTACTATGTACTATGTCCCCCTCCCCCAAATGGTAGGAAGTTGGGGAAAATCTGAAAATCGGTAGAGGGGGTCGTGGTATTGTCTCGCGACTTTTCCTGTTTCACATGTGCTGGCCGGAGGAAGGCGAGGGGGGGGCGGTCGTACCACCCCCAAGAAGGGGGGTGGGGGCTTCATAGCTTCATCAGATTTCACAGATGCGCTAGACCCGACAACGCGAAGTAGCGAAAAAAAAACATGTAGCTTCATGCTCCCCTAGGCGACTTGCGCCAAATTTCGATCACTTCTATGACCCGTCCACCCACATGGCTCATAGAAAAGCACTGAAATGAGCTAGCGCTCTCAAGTTTGCTGAATGATCTATTTCATAACTGAACTGACGCGGCTACCTTGAAATTTTATTCTTTGTCATTTGCTGTGGTGTTCACTGACGCGTCACTGAGCGGAGATAAATTCATTTTCGAGCCCGGTGAGAGACTGTATGCCGACTTCGTTACTCATATGCAAGTTAGGGTAATTCGAGTTCGCAGTAAAACAAGTGTAACCCCACACCTTACCCCACCCCCCGGGGTATGGGTAACCCCCCTGCCCCTCACTACATCGGACCTGATAGGTTTCGTGTGTGGGGCAAGTTTGTTTGAGATGTAGTGAGAATGGAGAACAAGACTGCTGGTTGGAAACGCGAATATGCTACCTTTGGATCAGTAGAATGGTTACATCCGTAGTATCATAAAATCCAGTAATAAGGCAAAAACAGCGGAAAACTCGTGCGTCAATTTTTCCGGGTGTAGCTTAAGGCTGCAATCACAGTTGATTAATTACAATATCTGAGAATAAAAACGGCATTGTTCAACATTACTACACCAAAAAACTAGTGAAACATTGGTGAAACTTTGCCCATCCTACAATATACAGGGGGGGGGGCAGAAAAAAAGTCAAATTCTCTTCATTGACTTTCGTGGCGCTATAAGTTACACTTTTATCGAATTCTGATCGGACATCTCTAAGTTTCTCGACCCTCTTGTAACCTCGGCATGATGTCGAATATTTAGTTATTTCTGCCAAACGAGGTTATTAGATAGAACCTTTTATTGGCCCGACGTTTCGACCTTCTCGTCTTCTTCAGAGGCCGAGGTTCCACCGTGCGGAGCCTAGCTCACGCTATGTGTCAGTAGTGTAAGACGATTCGCTCACCTTCACACTACTGACACATAGCGTGAGCTAGGCTCCGCACGGTGGAACCTCGGCCTCTGAAGAAGACGAGAAGGTCGAAACGTCGGGCCAATAAAAGGTTCTATCTAATAACCTCGTTTGGCAGAAATAACTAAATATTCTGATCGGACATTTTTACCACCGTATTGAAGAGCATATCAAGTACTATCACGACACTCCGCCACAGACTTTGACGAGCGAGCGCCATTCGAGGGGATTCAGGTCAGGTGACCTACTTGGATATTACCATCTTCTTTAGGTACTCAGCCCCCTTCCATTCCAAGTAGGCGAGAGTTTCTCCAACGCCCTTCGATTCCACGTGGTGGCACCCAATGCTGTAGCAGTACAAAGTTTCCAAGAAGGTAGGGGCGGCGACATGTGGGGAGGATATTCTTCTCGAGTTGCTCGATGTAATCGCAGCGCTCACATTCAGTCCGGGGGGGGGGGGGATTGCGGGGCTCACGAAAGCAAATATGGCTCTCTAACATTACAGGGTAAAAAGTCCCGGTCCACGAATCCATCACTGGCGCTTAGCGACTGAGGTGAAGATGATCTGCCTAGACCCTGCGGACGCTGTCGTGAGGAATGAGCTGTCTCGATGATGGAGGTCTTCCAGATCGAGAGTACTGGTCTCCAGGTAGCTACCCATGGGTGACTCCACACTAGAAGTTTCGCAGCTGTTTGGAGGTGACATGAATTCCAAAGGTCTTCTCCAGTCAGGCTGCGACTGGAGATGACCTCATATTTATTGGCGTTACATGTAACCGTGATGAGCGAGGCAGCCAGCCCAGGATCCTGCATCGAAGGAACAACATTGGGTATGTTCCGCCCCTGGTCTAACATGCGTATCACATCTTCTCTCTGTGCGTCCTGGGCCGTTTTATTTTCTGATATGTGACTCGCGTCGAAGCTCGACTTTTTTGCCCCCCCCTGTCTGCTATAATCGGCTATTGTCGTGTGTTATGTGGCCGTCTGTTGTGTGCGGACTGTCGTGGTTTGTCCACGAAATTCGAGACAACCGTAAAAGCAAGAACTTGGAGGGGTCGGCGTCATGGTGGGGATGCGGTAGAGCAATGCCGGACAAAACTATAGCACCCAAATGGTTCATGGCTGAGGCCCGCGCTCAATCTTGGGTGCGTCGAAAGTTAGCGATAACACTCAAAAAAGTCATAACTCGGTTCCAGAGCAGTCCCCAGATGAGTGATCAGTGCAGTAAAGTTAACAAAAGGGTTGACCGAAGACACAGAGAGGAGATACACAATTAAAATGGGCGGGGCGTACTTGAGATGGGCGGCGCTTCCCGTGTCACTGAAAAAGCCATAACTTGGCTACAAAGCAGCCCGGAGACGGGAAAAAGTGGAATAAGGCTGGCACTGGGTTAGCAGAGCAAATGGAGGAAACACACCTGAAATGGGCGAGGTGTGCTTGAGATGGGCGGTGCTTCCAAAAAAGTCAGTAACTCGGTTCCCGAAATAGAGTCAGAGCATCGCACGATAGCAGTCCATGGACAAAGTTTGAGGGCACATGGTGGAGCAAGGGTCCCCCATGGATGGCGGCGGTGCTTAGGGGGTAGCAAGGCCCGCGCTCCACAAGTGGAGACGTACATTTAAGACGAGAAGTACGCAGTTTTAAAAAGAACTCGTAGTTTGTCCTAAATCACTACCAGAAGGCGGCAAAAAAGTGGACTGATGGTTCACGCAAGCTGATCACTATGTCGGAATGGTGTGACCGGCACTCCATTGTGGGCGAAGCGTGGGGCGAGGTGGGTGGAGCCAAGTCTGGAAATCCCTAATACAGTTCCAGAACACTTCAGGCACCGGGAAAAAAGTACTTTAAGACCACGCCGGGGGTGTCATCGGTTCACAATTGGTAGAGCCACAACTACCTGCTGAGCGCGAGCGCTGCGCACGAGATAGGCAGGGCCAATTTTGAAAATATCCTTAGAAACGAGGTTCCTGAATGCTCCAGAATCACCGGGAAAGTCAGGTGATATGAGGGGGATGCGGGGCACAGTCACCGGTTCACAGGTGTGAGGCACACCCGTTGTGGGTGGAACGTGCGTCGAGGTGGGCATGGCCAGCCCTAAGGTTTCTTCAAGCGGTTCCAGAGCACTCCAGGCCTCCTCTGTGATACGGCCCGGCCTTGCGGGGCGTGGTCCATCGCGCCTGCCTGCATTCGTATGATCAAATGCTCGACTAATACCCGGCTTTTCTCTCACCACTTGATCAACGCTCCTTTTTACCATTCCATACACCATAATAGTATGACAATAGCAGGTGTTTATAAATGTGCTATTGGTCAAAGAATGTTAACCATCGGTTCAAATTAAAAAAGAAAAGCCGGTGTGGAAGAAGATAAGCGGGGCGGAGCTGCGCCCTCTCAGCGGAGCCGTTTTGTATCTCAGAAAGAGGCGCGCCGGCGTCAGGCGGCGAAGCCGGGGCTAATGCCGTTTGGACTACAGCTATTTCGGCACCGAGCTCATTTTAAATTGCCCAAGTCACCAAACTCGCTAAAAAATACAAGGGGGTAAGGGTAATTCGATGTAATTATCACGAGTATTACATTCGTCTACAAAGACATTTGGCGCCTACTTTTTTCACAAAAAACGGTGTAAACCCGCATATTAGGATTGTTTGATGCCCTGGTCACAACTATGGCATTCAATTTTTTTCTGACACGAGAGCCACTTAGCGGTTTCCGAAGGCTGAGCTTAGGAGAAGGAGTGATCCTTCAGGCCAGGCTCAGCATTAGGTCGCAGATGATCGTCTCAGATGATTGTTGTGTCCTCCATCAGCGTGAACGCCAAAAACGAATTTCATATCCGGAATTAGGATGTCAAATATCCCCATATATGAGTTTGCGGACTTGGTGACCTAGGGTGTCCTAGCGCCGGCGCCTGTGTCGCGGGTGCTAGGACACCCTGTGTCGCGGGTGCCCAGGCAGTTTCATGACGAGCAGATGCGATATACTTGTTCAGGTGGTTGAACTACACCCCAGAACCGAATTTTCAGCTAAATCTGCCCCCTAGAAAACGAAATCGGTCCAAATCCGGCCTGTTCTCGGAAGATTGAGTAATATTGGTTGTATAGTGCCAAAAAAACTGTGGGAAAAGTCAACTATGACGGAAAGGATCACTAGTAAAAAACTGAGCGCAACATAACATTGGGGGAAAAAGATCACCAGGAATGGAAGGAATCCAAAAAAATGCCCATCTCAGGACGGAAATATTGCCATTGTTGATGAAGAGATATTTCGAAAAAAAATCAAAAAACAAAATAAAACTTATAGAAAGAACATAAGACGTTGCTGGGGACAGTCGCCCTCAGAATATATTTGGTGAGGCCCGTTGTAGTTGGGGTGCCCTGCTGCGTTACACCATTTTTTACGGCGAAATTGGATTACGATAACTTGCTTGTGAGTATTGAAGCTGACATACAGTGCAATGTTGAAAAGCAGACACTGGATAGCAGGGTCAAGAAACATGACGTTGAGGAAAATTGGCAAGTCATCACTTCTGAATCATATGAAGTAGGGGGGGGGTCTGTTGAGGGGTCTGTTGAGTCTGTGTATGCGGTACAAGTCTACACATTGCATTCAAAATGAGACAAAAGAGGCTTGTAGTTTTCTCAAATGATTTTTTCAGAAACATCAGCACTGGACAGTACGAATGTTGAAAAAGCCTTCACGGAGGTGCTCACAAGAATCTACCGAGCAGGAACATCCCAAATGCGTAATGGGGACGGAGGAGGAGGTGTTGTCCTTTCCGCGGTGCCCATCACCATCACCGAACAACCGACGCCGAAGAAGGGATGCTGTCGATCGGGCTGAGCAGTTCTACCATTCAAGCCGTTGCTCATCTGCTTTTCTTTATAACTTCGTTGACCTCAATTCCATTCTTGTCAAGATGTGAAATCGTGGTGAAAATAAAGGAATGTAATATAATAAGATGAGCTCTGGTAACAATAAGATATGATGAACCTGGCAACACAAATAAGAAAGCAGAAGATGCGGGTTCGAGTCCCGCCCGTGGTCCGACTTTTGCCCACAACTCAGCATTCTTGTGATAACAAATAAGAAAATTAAAGAACAAACTGCACACTCACCTCTGAGGGCGGTCCTTGCCATGTGCCAGGTGAATTGACCTGCAGCTGCAGTAGCGTGCCATCTTGTCTGCACAAAGTGTATGTGAAGGGGGGGGGGGTGGATGTCTGTGGTTCACGGGCGTCGTTTCCCGACTAGTCTCGCGCTATTCCAAAGGTGCAGCTCTTGCATTCTATACCTGAATCCCGCCAGCGAATTCATAGGCAGAGGAGAACCAGAAGTGTAGCGGCGCAGGATAAGTAAGCGCGTCCGGCTATGGTTGGGCGTGCGGCGGCGTGGGCGGAGTATGGAGATGGCACCCAGAGAATCACTGCCCTCGGGCTAGGTTCCCTGTGCCCCCTGTTGAGACTCACTGGTAAATTGCGGATCCTTCCACTTCCACATGGACAAGAAAAAGGTCCAATAGAGGAGGTTTTGCCACTCGAAAACGTTGCACCACACAGGTCGACGCGGCAGATGCTGATCAAATCATGAGTTTCGGCATAGGAGTCCTGAAGCCGTGCGTTTCTTTTTGGGAAGCCTTCATAATGTTACCAGTTCTCGGCTTGTTTGATTTTATTTCCAATAGATACATGTACTCGGGCGCTAGCAACCTGACGCGGGAGTGGATGAGGCTTTACCACTTACAGAATGGGATGAGGTAGGGATTGTGAAAACCCACTGAAATCAGACAGAGGTAAGGTGAGGGTTACAAAACGATTATGAGTACTGAGAAAATGCTGTATTAGTCCTGTTCTCGGCTGTCACACATTCAACGTCCAATAAGATCATAACTTGCCTCCAGAGGCAAAACTTGATCTCACAACCGGAGGTGCCCATCTAAAAAGTCAGTGTTCTTTACCAATTACTTGATAGCAGGTTCAATGTACCTGTTCAGGACGTTGTGGGGTCTGGACAGTTAACATTCCCAAAGACGCAACGTGTTGAATACAAATTTTCTTACGTATTGGTTGGCTTGTAGTATTGACCACTCCCTCTAGATTACCCCACTTTCGGCGACTTTGAGGATGTGAAGGGTTATGGGCCTGCAAGCGCAGTTCGACGCCTCCTAGTTTTCGTCCCCACCTATGCGAAAGGCTATTCTGCAAGTATCTTACCGTTGTGGTTTCGTTTATTTGTTTCACTAGGGAGGCGTTATTACTGATTAGACGCGAAGAAATGACTAAAAAGCCTGAGGCGGCACGATATCGCTTGCTGGCATAAAACGAGCAGATTCGGAGAACTCGTTCAGAGAGGTTGCCAGGTGTCTACTTAGGGTGTATCCCAGGGTTTTTTCGCTTTCTTTCCCTCCTGGGAAGTTATTTAGCGACTGCAGATCTGTAATTGAGCACCACTATCCACAATATACAATCGCCAGGCTTGTCTCTAATTGGTAAGGGAAAAGAAGCAGCTGATAAGTCGTGCAGGAAAGCAAGGGTCCTTACGATTAGAGTCATGACATGCTGGCAATACAATAGCTGAAGTACAATGAATTGCGGGACCAGCCGATGATCAAGGCAGTTTCTTGACTTCCCTGACGACAATGGTACCAGTTACGTCCCCGGAAGGCAGAAGGCTCGTTGGCCCGGCCCGGAGCCAAGTCGGTATTTCATTCTCTGACCGCGCCCATAATGTGTCTGCCACTTACTACTGCACCATTTCCAGCAACTTCTTTTTTAAAATAAATCGTAACAAATCCGTTCTTTCGCCGAAATTCTGACGGAAGGTTTTTGTTCAATGCCGAGAACTGATAAGAGCGAACAACAAATGAACACAAGGAAAATAGATCAGTTCAGCCCAATATTTCCGCATGTTGACCCATTTTGGAAATACGATGGGTAATGGAAGTGGAAATACGACGAGTAATGGGATTGTCTACCAAATTACTGATGAGAAAACTTGGGAGATGTAGATTGCTTACCAAAGGAGAAGAGGGATGGAGGGTCTACGGTGAAGAGATCCTCTCTGTGGTCAGCTCCACAGGATTCGCCATGTGAGGCACGCTACAGTGTGCGCCAGACGAATTTTTGCGCCAGTCTGGTACATGTCGCTGCGGCCAAAAAACGGCAACGGAAACACACCAACTCTAGATAGATTATCGTCAGAACAACTAACATGTTCGAGCTAGGCTAGAAATGCGAGGGTGATTCAATTGTTTCTAGCTGCTGCTGGCTGCCGAACGTTTGCAAACGTAATGGATCGACACCCAACCCTAAGCAATCCTTCTTTTCCGGGTCGATATTTGGTACCGGAATTCTCAAGGAGGATAAAAAAAACTGACTCGGTCGGTCCCATTAGGATAGACCACCTTCTGAACGCCACTATGAATCCAAATGAATGTGAAGTACGTGACGTTCCCAAGAAAAGACTGATTAACGCCCAAGCTCTCACAGCTGTTATTGCCCGATAGCCTTAACAAACTACCTTTCAGGTTCAGATTGAAGCGCTTCTACCGCCAGTGAATTCACTGTCCTCGCTGCGGCCACGCCTACCCGATCTCAGGGATTTCGAGTATATCACATTACATTTCTTACTTGTGGTTGGCTCTTTCCGCGCAGTGACCTCGAATGGACAGAACCCTTCTGAGCTCGATCCTTTGCTACTGCCCTTAAGTTACCCAATTTTACAGCAATTTTATGTGTTTTGCAACTGATACCCCGCTGAATTCGAATATACTTGAACTCCACGGATATAGTTGAACAAGGTTCTCCCTGAATGTTTCCCATCTTCGACAGATGAAAAGTAATACTGATGGATGCCATCGCTTTTCGTTTCCCTTCGTCGTATGATAGCCACACGACACCTTAGCGTCTGCTCCTTTTCGCTGCTGATAAGCTCAGGCTTACTCTGAAAGTCTGGAGAGTGTGTTTGAATGAACCACGCGTTCCTTGCACTGAGCGCTTATCAACGCTTCGAAATGTCATCAATTCCTCTTCACAAACATGATGATTCTCAATATTCCACCGAGTTAGGGCTATCATCTGCTGATAAGAAGTGCTTGAATCTTTCATCTTTAACTGTTCCTTCAAAAGCGCTGCTGCTCATTCTAACTTGCATATTTCTTATGCAACTTTTTCGAGTAGGATTGATCATCCTTTTTTCGAATATGATTTTTGAACTTTTTTTTCTGAATTTGTGCTGGAAAGTGTGCCATCTATTCGAGAACTCCTTCGTGGAACACTACGCACTTTATCCCTCACCGCCAGCTTTTGGAAGTTCAGTTCAGGTATTGGGTTAGCCCATGAGTGACAATGTTTTTTTTTCGACTTGTTGGCCGAAGTGCAGCCTAGACTGAGTGCAAAAAGTTGGTGTCAATAACTCATTTTAATCGACCCGACACTCCCTTTTCATAAGCTAAAAACTGGCAAGATCAGAAAGCGGGCTACTATCTTATAGAGCAGTCCTAGAAAATCCCCTACCAGATGTAATGAAGCGCACCCAGAAAACGTCACATCTTCCACACAAAACTTCATGAAGAGAGAAACGTCATTACACTTAAGGGCCAAACCAATACAATACCGCTCCTAATTTCTGGTCAATCGACGGTTTGCGACAGATTTTTCCGTCGCAAACCGTCGTTTTGCCATAACTTCCGTAGAAGTGGTCCAAATTATTTGAAAAGCCACTGATGGATAGCTGAAACCACGACGAGTCTAATGGTCTATGAACAGTTCGATTCTGTTCAGTTTGTTGGTCTTATTTTTGACGAATTCTACTGTTGAGTCTCCACTGACCTTAGGTGGTACCTGAGGACATGACAGAGTCGTAAACCCTCAGTCCGATACGCGGCAGTTCAAACTGAGGCGTTAAGTTCGTGGACACCACCAATAGCGATATTTGGTAGGGCGTTTTCCGTGACTTTTGGTACGCTGGTTTCGATCAAGGTTTCGATGAAATTCAGGTGCAAAAAATAAAAGGTTTTCCCTGAGAGCTATGCGAGAACTCATTTTTGACGCTATGATGCAGTAACTATCCCTTCCGATCTCAACTTTTGGTTGGGTTTTCAAATTGGTGCAAGATATTTGAGTCGTCATAGGATGCTTTTCAACCTATTTTAAAACACAGTCGACACACAGAATTTTGTGATTTTTTCCTAATTTGATCGCGCATTCCGCAGTATCTATGGTACTGGCGGCGAAATCGCTAAAGGGTTGTGGATTTGGTTTAGTGCTGAGTATGAAAATCAGCAGCTATCGTTCTTTACTAACAAGCGATTCTTCCGCAATAAAGCCCTAAACCTCGGTGTTGACCTAGTCTGGCACAATAACCACATTTCTTCCATATTTGAATTGGCGCATCATCCCTAGCGAGGCTCAAACACAGAAACAGGCAAGGAAAGTCTCTTTAGAACACTTGCTGTAGTATCATATAATCGGAAGTTTACCGCTCCAGGGCAAGTCCTGTGTTTGCTACAGTGTAACAAATCTTGTACATCGCCACGTTTTCCGTTTCAAAGATCGGCATTAGCCGAATTAAAGAGAGCCTATTGAGACTTGTATGGTTGGATTCTCTGAGAAAAATGCTACGAAGAGGTGTCCCAACGATGTGAAAACCATGTCCTATCGACAAAGACACTTTTTTCATCCACGAGGCTGGGGTTGACGATCAGCTTCTATTTGACTTCTGCGCTGTACATAGAATTTCAGATTCTTTTATAAGGTTCCACATCGTTGAAACCAGCTCGTCGAGCTCTTTCCAGTGGTATTTTCAAATCACGGAAATATCTACATTTGAGGGCTTACCGATCT